ATTTTTCAGCTGTTCTGCTTTGGCCCTTGCAGATGCTTCTACCTGTCTCTCTTCAAACACATGATCTTCCTGGAGAAGAGGGGCTGTCCCCGGACAGCCCTGGAGTTCTGCAAACTCATCCTAAGGTAACGAGCAGTGCGGGGGCCCTCTACTCAGGGGTGGGCCGGAGCTGCCTTGTCTGGCTGCCTGTGGATTTCAGGCTGACGGCACCGTGGGCCTTTGGCTGCAGTGCTGTGCTCCTGCCTGTTGCCGGCGGGGCCCTGGGGGGGGTGCACTGCACCCCACACGGCCTGTGGGGCGGTGCAAGGTCCAGAAAGCAGAGGTCAGGGCTGGGCCGACGGCCGGCTGCCTTCAGTCTCACGGCTCTACTGGTGAGCGTCCAGTCCGGCTGCATTGCCTCCTGCCTCGGGTGCAACTCAGACCGTGTTTCTCAACCTCTTTCAGACCTGGGTTGGCGGCTGCCCTCGCGGCCTGTGCCAGGGAGCTCCGGGCGCTGGGGCTGGCCCGCGGGCTGGTCTGCCATTAGTGTCTCCGGGGAGGCTGTGCTCTGTCGCGCCGGGCAGCTTGGGCTCCCTCTGTTCCCCTGTAGGCCCCTCGCCTTATTCCATAGCTCCCAGCCCCCGGTCCCAGTGGCCTTCCGCCCTGCCACGGCGGTGGTTGGGCTTCAGCGCTATCCGTGAGCCCGGCCCCGTTCGGGGGCTGGCGGGTGGAGTCTCGCCCACGCGAGTAACTCTGAGTGAGCAGTTGTAACGCCGCTTCCCGCCCCCTCCCCTAGCCTTGATCCGGAGACCGACCCGCTGTGTGTGCTGCTGCTCATTGATTTGCTGTCGCTCCGAGCCAGAGAGTACGCCTTCCTGACGCGCATGTTCCAGGAGTGGGAGGTGAGCTGCCAGCAGGCCGCCCCGGCAGGAGGCGAGTGGGAACTGCCCAAGAGCAGATTCCTAGGGCTCCCTGCCCTTCCGTGACCTGCCTCCGGAGCGCAGGGCACCGTGGGGGGGCTGCTGCCCCCGGAACCGCACCCCCGACTGCCCGAGCTGTTTGCATGGGACGTTCTGAGACGCCGCGCTCGGCGCTCTGGCCGCACAAGCAGCCCTGTGAGTTGGCATGGCTTGGTGCGTTGCCCAGACGCGCACACCGAGGCCCCGAGCAGGCGTTCCTTCCCAGCGGTTACACGGAGCGTGGGGGGGAGGAGCGTCGCCGCAAAGCCCTGAGACTAGCGCCAGTGCCCTCATTGCTGGGGGAACCTCCCTTGCCTCTGCAGGGTCACCGGAACTTGTCCCAGCTCCCGAACTTCGCCTTCTCGGTCCCGCTGGCCTATTTCTTTCTGAGCCAGCAGGAAGAGCTCTCGGAAGTGGAGCGAAGCCAGGCGCAGGAAAGAGCTGCCCACCTTCTCCAGGGCGCGCTGATCATGTTCCCCAGCGGTGAGTGACTCGGGTTTGGATTTAGCCGCGAAGCTGCTGGCCGCGTTCCCCAGCTGCGTGGGGCTGAGGGCGCTGCCCCTTTGCGGTGCAGAGGCGGCGCCGGGGAGCGTGGCACGTCAGGCCGGCCGTCTGCAGGTCTGTCTGTCCGTATCTCTCCCCCTCCCCCACCTCTGTGCTGTCGCCTCCTGCCTTGCCCAGTACTTGGGGCCTCTGCCCCATGTCTAAACACGCATCATGTGCTCAGGTTGGGGGCTGGGGCCGCTGTTTGTCTGCTCCCCCGCCCAGGCCCCACCGTGCGGCTCCCAACACTGTCACATCCATCCGGCTGCTGCCTGTTCCCCACAGGTGGTGCTTGTGGCCCAGGCGGGGGACAGAGGCCAGAATTGCTTTGTCTCTGTAGGCAGGACTAGCCCGCTCGCCCTGAGCAAGGGGGGCTGGTTTGGGTTGACTCCCGAGGGGCCCCGGCCTTGCTGCTGCTGGCCACGAGGACAGACACCCCCGTTCCTGTCCAGAGGCAGCAGCATCAATGGCAGGACACCGAGCCGAGTTCCTCTGACGTTTCATTAAGGGCTTGTGGGCAGGGAGGTTAAAAGAAGCCAACGCGACGCATTGTCCATGCAGTCGTGGCCACAGCGCGGTTCCTGCCGGCTGCTGAAAGCACCAGCGGCTTCAGCCTTAGTCGCAAGTTGTCCCCCTCTGTGCCTGGTGCCCGCGGGAGGCCTGGCCTGAGGCCCAGCTCTAGGACTCTGCTGGCGCTGGTGGCCTTCTCTCCTGCAGTTCTCCTGCCGTTGCTCGATCGCTGCAGCGTGCAGCCGGACTCCACGGTGGCTTCGCATGCCTTTTTCGGCCTCCACACTCAGATCAGGTGAGAGCTGCCCGACCTTCCAATGGCTGACAGCTCGCTCAGCCTCACTCGGCCTTCTGGGAGGGGAGTACCAGCGGCGGGCACTCGGGTAGCAAGGTGAGGGGACCCGTAGGAGGACCCAGATAGATGACGCCCAGGAGAACCCCCCAGCTCAACGTATGTTGCCAGAGGCTCCTCTTTGCCCAGCCAGCGTGAGTGCCTGCTGCAGCAGAGTCTGGTGGCTGCATGTGAGCTGGGCCAGCTGGCTCAGTGGCTCTGTGATCTTGTGACCACCTGGATCCCAGAGAAAGGGGGGTAGGTGCTCCCCGTCCCTGTCTGGACAGACTGGGGCCAGGCGCTGGAGACAGAATACGCTGGTGGGGGCCGGGGCAAATAGCAGACCCAGGAGACTGCAGCTCCTTGGCCGGTGCGCGAATCTGAGACAGGCCCCAGTGTTCGCTGGGTCATCCGTGCCTGCCACGTGCTAACGCTCTGCGCCCACAGCCAGCCTCCTGCCCTGACCCAGCTGGTCGCCCTGTACATTGGAAGGACTCACTCCCTGTGGAAGGACCCGGGCGTCATGGCGTGGCTGGAAACCAGCGTCCATGAGGTGTTACGGAGGGTGGAGGCGAGTGATCCGGCAGTGGAGGAGTCTGCGCAGAAGTGAGTGGACGGGGGGCCCCCTTAGCCGGCAGCCTGCCCGGCCCACAACTCCGACCCTACTGGCAGGAGGAGCTTTGGGGCTGGGAAGGGCGGGTCTCCTCTGCGATCTAGGGGACCAGTGAGGGGCCGAGCCGAGAGCTATGCTTCTAACGCCTGCAGGCCTGTTCTTTGCTCTCCCCAGGCTGGCCCGGCCCGGCTGGCACAAGGGCCTCGGAAGGAACCTGGGAAGCAGGCGGCTTTTCTGCTAGTAAAGGCTGTGCGTGGGGTCGCTCCCCGTTTGGCAGAGACGGGCCAGGCAGTGGGGGGGGGGGATGGGACTGACCTTTCCCCACTGCTGAGGGCAGAGGTGTGCGCCTCACTTGGGAGGCAGCGAGGGGCGAAGTTCGGGGAGGGACTCTAGGGGTAAGTGGGGCTAATTGGACATCTCAGCGTTCCTGGGAGGGCAGGTGGCTGGCTCCCTTGGTTTGGTGGCTCCGCTGGAGACGCCTCCTGGCCGAATCGGAGCATGTTACGCTTATCATAGCGGTGCCTCTAACCCCCCGAGACTGAGACCCCTTTGTCTGAGCGGTTGGTTGAGTAGAACGAGGGTTCACTGAGCCGTATGGGTGTGAGAAACTTTACCTTGCGTTAATTCGATGCTTGCAGGGATTACAGTTTAATTCCGTGCCCTACTAGCACCAGTTTTCCAGCATAGTAGCTGATAGCTACATTATTAGCAGCCAAACGGATAACAAATGCAGCTTACTTCTGCTGTTACTTGAGGGCACTTTTTCTTTTTATTTATTTATGTAGTTATTGCTGCTCCTTTCGGCTGGCTGGCCTTTATTGCAATCACCACTTCGGTCTGTGTTTTCAAAAAATATTAAATGTTATGGAGCTCTAAGTTACCTTCCAAGTTAAAAGCTAAACACTGAAGTCTAACAACACTACTAATTGCCCTTATCTGACAGAAATCATGTCAGTTTTGCAACTTTGAATGAAGACTTCAAATGGCTTTTTAGTGGCATTAATTCAAAACAAACCAAATTGAATTCATTTTACATTGACAAACAGGGTTTTACAAATCCAGAATATTAGTTTAGTCCTTTTAAAAAAAAAAATAAAAAAATACAGGCAGTCCCTGACTTACGCGGATCCGACTTATGTCGGATCTGCACTTACGAACGGGGCTTTCTCGCCCCGGAGCTCGCAGGCAGCGGGACCGCCCAGAGCGCAGCGGTCCCGCCACCTCGACCTCTGGGGCGAGAAAAGCTGCTCTGGGTGCCCCTGGTCTGCTGGGGACCGTCTCCAGCAGACCAGGGACACCTGGAGCAAAGCCGGGGAGGCGGAGGGGTCCCCCCCCTCTGAGGCTTTGCTCTGGCAAAGCCTCAGAGGCGCGGCACCCCGCCGCCGCTGCGGCTTTGCTCCCCGTGTCCCTGGTCTGCTGGGGGGGCGGGGGGCAGCTAGGGGGCCGCCCCCCCCAGCAGACCAGGCTTTTGTTGTGGACCCTGGGGTAGAGCAGCTGGGGTGCTGCTGGGTTGGTCCTGCAGGGACCTACCTGGCAGCCCAGCTGTTCTGTCCCAGGCTCGAGATTCAGCCGCTGTTGAAACTGATCAGTGGCTGATTCCAGGAAGCTTCCTGTAGTCAGCCCCTGGTCAGTTTCAGCAGCAGCGGCTGAATCTGGAGCCAGTTCCGACTTACATACAAATTCAACTTAAGAACAAACCTACAGTCCCTATCTTGTACGTAACCCGGGGGCTGCCTATATATGTAACATTTTACACACACATGCAAATATACATGCACACCTGAATGATCCAGCACGTCAATACCCAAAACAGCAGGCGTCTCCTTCTCTGTTGGTGCTTAAAAACCCAACAGTGCGTGCTAACTCCCTTCACAGTTCTCCGCCGCGAATGTTATGCTTACAAGGCACGCACGGGATTTTTTTAGGGGAAAAGGCGATGCGCCATGTTGATTAAGAATACAAAGTAAAGCAGCTAACGGATGCTCATATAGAGACACACACACGTGCTGTCCCACCAATTGCTGTTAGAGTTACCGGTCCAGATCCTTTTGGCGGTAGGGATGTGAAATATCGGTTAATGGAATAGTCGATTAATTTAATGAATTCTTAGCAGCTAGTTGACTATTCTGTAGTCCCCAGGGGTGGGGCTGGCTGCCAGTGCGCTCCAGCCCCACACCCGAGGAGCCCTCTGCTGCCACCTGTGCTGCTGCTGCCTCTCTGTCAGAGGCAGCAGCACGGGGGGCCAGGCGGGAGCTGGTCCACGAGGGGAGCCAGTTTAAAAATCAGCTCCCCTGCCAGACCGGCTGCCTGTTGCTCTGCGCTGCTTCCCCTGATATGGAGGCAGCAGCGCAGGGTGGCAGCAGCCCCTGTCCAGGGGGGTATCTAAGCTCCTGGACCCAGTGGGAGCCAAAACTGAGCCAGACTGCCTGCCCACCCGGCTCCTAACACACTTTAAATGCAGAGCTGCAGCGGAGGTAGGTCCTGGACCTGGCGCGAGCCAGAACTGAGCCGGCCTGCTGGCCAGCCTGCTAAACGGGAGATGTGTGTCGTCTGTAGCATTAACCTCTACGCTTTTGCGTATCAGTTAATCGACTACACGCTGACATCCCCGTTTGGCAGCCTACTAGATTGGTCACGGATAGGGAGGGGCAGGGCTCTGTCAGTCCACACCGATGCTTCAGAATTTTAGCAAAACGGAACCCAAAAATTCTGGCCGAAGCAGCCCCTTTTTATGTTACTTGGGATGCTTTTAGTGAGATGAGTCAGTCTGATACCACTATGCTGTTTGAGGAATGCGGGGGGGTAACGGTTTTTTGTATTGCATCTATTTTGTTTAAGTGGCTAGGTGCTTGCCTCACTTCTTAGAGTTGTTAATTTGCCCTTTATTTGCATTTTGATAGGGGCATATAGCAACTTCCTGGCACCGTTGTTTGCCCTGGGCTCCTTTTCAGAACATTTGATTCAATCATGGCCTTTGCCCTTATGTTTTTAAACACACTTTCCTCATTCTGCACTTACACCAACACAAATGACATAGTTGCGTTTGTAAATATAGATTTCGTGAGAACCCCTTTCTTTGAAATGAAGGAAGAAAGTGGCCCGACCGCTGAAAGGGGAACAGTAGTGACTGACCGGCCCTTGTGGTCTGTTCCTGCTTTAACGTTACTAGCAAACGCAGGCAGCTGCCGAGTGCACCCTTACAGCAGCGCAAGGCTGGTCCTTTCTGCGAGCCAGACGGTATGGCTGGTCAGGTACACTGAGGCACGTGGCGTGCGTAACGCTGCAAGCGCACGGCCATGCTCACACTTGCAGCCCCGGGCAAGGGAGGGACTGATGGGCACAGTGCAGCCTGAGGAGGCCGGGAGGGAGCAAACGCAGGCAGCTGCCGAGTGCACCCTTACAGCAGCGCAAGGCTGGTCCTTTCTGCGAGCCAGACGGTATGGCTGGTCAGGTACACTGAGGCACGTGGCGTGCGTAACGCTGCAAGCGCACGGCCATGCTCACACTTGCAGCCCCGGGCAAGGGAGGGACTGATGGGCACAGTGCAGCCTGAGGAGGCCGGGAGGGAGGCAAGGCTGCCACCAGAG